TATTGCTTTAGGGATTAGAAATTATTATGTTATCGAGTCGAAATAATTATGTTATAAATTGGACGTTAGATATTATCGCTTTAGGAATTAGAAATTATTATATTATCGAATAGAAATAATTATGTTATAAATTGGACGTTAGATATTATCTTGTTCGGAGTTAGAAATTAATTAGATTTGTGTATCTATAAATTGAATGTTAGATATTATCGCGTTAGGAAATAGAAATTATTATGTTGTACAATTGAAATAATTATGTTATAAATTGGACTTTAGGAGTTCGACATAATAATGTTATAAATTGAACGTTAGATATTATCGCTTTAGGAGTTAGAAACCGAATATGACAGTTTTGGCTCTGTCAAACTCACGACTCGCGAGTTTAGCATAGGAAAACACCCAAATCTGGCGAATGGCGAGATTAATTCGGGAGTCGCGAGTGTATTCGCGACTCGCGAGATGAAGTCGCGCAACACGATTTTCGTATATTTTTGCTCTGTCAAACTCGTGACTTTGTCTCGCGAGTCGCGACATTATCTCGCGACTCGCGAATTTCCGCTGGCGATTCGCGAGTTGGACAAAGGCATAAGTGCCAGAATCTCGCGACTCGCGACCTCGTCTCGCGAGGCGCGAGAGTACTCGTGGCTGAACTCGCGACTCGCGACATGATGTCGCGAGTCGCGAATTTCCTCGCGACTCGCGACTTTCGGCTCGCGAGTCGCGAATGCCCTCGCGACTCGCGACATTCGGCTCGCGAGTCGCGAATTTTGGCTGTTTCGGCTCTTTTAAACTCGCGAGTCGCATTAGGAGTAATTGAACGTTAGATATTATCGTGTTAGGAGTTATAAATTATTATGTTATATAGATTATAATTTAACATGGTTGAAATATTGTAATATATTGCAGGTGTCATTGGAAGATTTTGGAGGAGATGGTATTGATTACAGTTCCGCTTTCAATACAACTACATTTTTTGTTAGTGATGAGGCTGCGATTGATGATGCAAAAAGTACGGCAATTCTGAATGGTTTCACTTTGACTATTTCGAAACACACAAAAGGAGGAAGGTTGAAAATCTTGAAGTGCAAACGAGGCGAACGTTATAGAGGCAAGAAGAAGGTAGATGTTGCTTCTAGAAAATCGAAAACCAACAGGTGCCAGTGCCCTTTTGAGATAAGAGTAAAGCGGGTGCCCGGAACGCAATTCTGGATGATCCACAAGTGTCTAAACGAAGAGAAGGGCTTCCACAATCATTCATTTGCTGTGTATCCCGAGGGCCATCGACAATCGAGCGGCATCAGCCAGTCATCAAAGAAGATTATTCGTGATATGACTGTTGCGCATGTGACACCAGCAAATATTTTGGCTGCTGTCCAGGAAAAAAATCCAGGAGATCACGCGACTGTGCGACAGATATATAACTATAGAGACATGTTGCGGAAGGAGAGTTTTGAGGGTAGAGACGTTACTACCCAGCTTCTACATTTGGCTAGGAGCAGCAGCTATATAGTTTATACAGATTTCCATCCGGACACAAATGCCTTGACACACATATTCATGGCCCATCCTGATTCAGTCAGACTATTCCGGACATATCATTTGTATGTTGACATAGATTCCACCTACAAAACCAACAGGTGTGTTAATTTATAAATATATTATTAGTATGAATATAAATTAATATGTTCGATTAAATTTTATGAGATTATATTTTTTGGTCTCATTTGCACAGGTACAAGATGCCTTCGGTCGAGATGATTGGCATGACTCCGTGCAACAATAACTTCTTGATTGCGTACGCACTCGTGAAGGACGAGAAAGAGACCAGTTATGAATGGGTTCTCCATAAGCTGGGACTTTTGATAGGCTCTGAGGTAAGAATAAAATATTTAAATTTATTAGTAATAAAAGTATTTTGTGCAATATAGTAAAAATATTTCAGCAATTTTTGCTCTGTCTCATTAATATTTCTGTATCCGCCGCTGCTCAGGTACATCCAAATGTGGTTGTCACTGACAGAGAGTTGGGCTTAATGACTCCTATTAGGAGGAACTTTCCCCAGTCTGCCCACTTACTCTGCACGTGGCACATCAACAAGGATGTAGAAGACAGACTCTACATGCTGCTTGGAAAAAATAAAAAATTAGCTCAGAGTTTCTTGCGCGGTAGGTGGAAGGCGATTGCCGATGCCGGTACGGTTGATGAGTACGACACGGCCGTAGCTCAATTGCGTGCCAAATACCGGAATCATGTAGAAGTGTTAGATTATGTCGAGGGGACTTGGCGAGTCCACAAGGAGAAGTTCGTGAAAGCTTGGACTAACCGGGTAACACATCTTGGCAACACAACTTCATGTAGGGTGGAGAGTGCACACTCTGTGTTGAAACGGTGGCTTCGCACGTCGACCGGCGCGCTCGATACAGTGTGACAGAAGATTGATGCGGAGATCCAGTCCCAGATGACTGGAATAAGGTACATTCCTTATTTTTAATTGTATTAGATCGTTTCATATATATTAGAATTCTTGGTATTTCGTTTTATTTATAAAAATAAATATAATGGTTTGTAATATATTACCAGGACAACGCTTGAGTCTTCGAGACTTAGGAGGTATACGGGGTTTACGGGATTCCCTTTCGCGTGTTTGACATTGAGGGTCTCGCATTACTGTCTGGACATATTGAACTCTGAGCTGACGAGGATGCATGATTTGAGCTATGAAGTTTACGAGCGCTGCGGTTGTGTATTGCGTACCACTCATGAAATTCCTTGTGCCTGTACGCTTCGTACGACATTTGATTCTGACCTTTCGGTTGAATTGAGTGATATCCACGAGTTCTGGAAGACACTAAAGATGTTACAGCCAGGTAATTTAAGGTTAATGTTTCATTTAAAATTTTCTACTTTCTAATTCATTGTTAATTACAAATTAAAGTACATTACGTTGTTAAATTCATTGAACTTTTTTTCCGTACACACTTGTAGGGACAGATCGCCAGAGGCAGGATAACCAGAGTACATGGACAGATGTTGATGTATTTCGGACGTTTGTCCAAGAGATTGAAGAGGGCGATCCTGCGACAATTCGCTACATGAATCACCTCATGTACGCTCAGCTTTACCCGGAGCAACAAACTTATGCAGAGCCTGAGGTTAAGGAAAATACGCGAGGTCGTCCCAAGAAAACCGATTCGACTAAGCGTAAACCATCGCGCTGGGAGTACAGGGATAATTCGAGAGGTCGTCTGCTGGGCCGTACAAGCACTTCTTCGCGCGGACCGACAAACACTTCTTCGCGCGGAACGACAAACAATTCTTCGCGTGGACCCACAAACAACTAGTCTTCTCAACCGTCACAAGAGGCACCACAAGGTGACATATTTTTTTTTTTTATACAACTGAACGTTAATTAAAGTGTTAATATAAATTATATTATATAAATTATGACGTAAAATTACTATTATGATGTTTCAGCTGGTATGTCGACAAATATATTTGGTTTTGAATTCGTGAATAGTATTCCCTGGCATATGTTGGAGCACGTAGTGAGCTACTTGAACGTGATAGCGGATGGTAACTGTGGCTTTCGGGTTATAGCGAGTTACATTTACGGGGACCAGGAGATGTGG